ATAAATAAATTAATAATCAAAAAAAAAGTATATACAGTAGTTAGTAATAAATAAAATGCTTTAATTAATTTTAATACCGGCCATATTATCGTCCAAGTCTATATCATAATCACTGGAAATTTCAATTGTATCAGGAATTTCCTCTTTGTCAAAGATATTATTTGTATAAAGTTCATCAATCAGAGAGCAATCACCACAGGGCTTGTCTCCATAAACCAGTTTATAGGGGTTTTTTTATGTGATCTACACTATGAATTGCTCATGGCCACCACGACCAATCTTAAGCCGAATAATCAGTCATTTCTGCCAGTCGTTTCACGCCACTTTCCTAGCTTTTGCTCCAAGATGCCGTTGGCACATTCCACTAAACCTTGCGATTAGGGATGCCTGGGGTGTCTGTTAATAATTTTTACTGATGGCCATAACTCCATTAGTTCCTTGATTACTTGTGCTACAAACTCCTTCCCATTGTCAGACTGGAGTATAGTCAGAGGTGATCCAATTATGTGGAAAAGATCAAAAAGATATACCGCGACTTCAATTGCTCTCTTGGATGTTAGAGATCTTGCCCACGAGAACCGACTGAAATGGTCTCTTACATGATATACATACTTAAAATCTCCATCTGGGATATAGGATAGATTGATCAAATCCATCTGCAAAATATAAAATAAAATGAATAAATATAGTTAAAAAAAATTTTTTTTAATTTTTATTTTCAAAAATGTAAAACTTACCTGTATGCAAGACAAAAAGTCTTTTGCAATGATTGGTTTTGCTGCCAAGAGATGGAACGCTAGTTTTTGGGCCGCACACGCAGTGCAATTATTCACAAATTATTCTACAACTTCTTGTTTTACAAACCCTCACTTTTCACGAATTGACTTCTAGGTTTGTTTTTGACCACCATGTTGCATTATTTCACCGTGAGTATGACAGAGAACTTTATAAAACCTTTCAGTTATTAATACAGGGTTATTTGTAGCCTTTACGATTACCCTGTAATCCCCAGGCATAATTTCTTCAAGCCTAAATTTTTTTTTAGCCCAACTTCATGTATTTTTATCATAAAGCGAGGTGTCTTTGGGGTTTAATAAAATGCTTTTTATTTTATTTAAGAGTTCCAGATTGATTAAAGCCTTCTCTTGCTTTGCTTTTAGAAGATTAGTTATATACTTTTCCAAGATTCGGTCAAGGGTGCTTCTACTAATAAATGTATACTCCATTTGGTAGGTATTATGGGGGAAAAAAAGACAGCAGCCAATGAAAACAGTTAAGATCAAAGAAAAAATAAATGATAAGCAGGCCACGTCTAATATATTAGTGGGCACCAAGAGCAAATCCAATGTCCAATGTATTAGTGGGTACTAAGAATGAATCCAACATCCAATGTATTATTAGCATCAAGAACAAACCCAATGTCCAATATATTAGTGGGCACCAAGAATGAATTCAACGTCCAATATATTAGTGGGCAACAAGAATCCAACGTCCAATATATTAGTAGGCACCAAGAATAAATCCAATGTCTAATATATTAATGGGCACCAAGAATGAATCCAACATCTAATGTATTAGTGGCAACAAGAATCCAACATCCAATGTATTAGTGGGCACCAAGAATCCAACATCCAATGTATTAGTGGGCACCAAGAATGAATCCAATGTCCAATATATTAATGAAAACCAAAAATTAATCCAACGTCCAATGTATTATTAGTGGGCACAAAGAACAAACCTAATGTCCAATGTATTAGTAGACACCAAGAACAAACCCAATGTCCAATATATTAGTGAGCACCAAGAATGAATCCAACGTCCAATGTATTAGTGGGCACCAAGAACAAACCCAACGTTCAATATATTAGTGGAAACCAAGAATGAATCCAATATCCAATGTATTATTACACCAAGAACAAACCCAACGTCCAATATATTAGTGGGCACCAAAAATTAATCCAACGTCCAATATATTAGTGAGCACCAAGAATGAATCCAACGTCCAATGTATTATTAGTGGGCATAATGTCCAATGTATTATTAGTGGGCACAAAGAACAAACCTAACATCCAATATATTAGTAGGCACCAAGAATGAATCTAACGTCTAATATTTTAGTGGGCACCAAGAATTAAGGCAATGTGGAACCAAGAATCAACCAACCAACAAGAAATAAAAAAAAAGTATGCCAGCCGTTAAAGATAAAACAAACCATCATACAAAAAAAAAAAAATTAAGATAAGAGCAAAAAGGCTTTTTATACTCTTATTTATAATGACGTTATTACTATATTTTTCATAATGATATTATTATATTTTTTAAAAATTTTAAAGATCTTGCGTCAGATTACAGCTGATGCACGTCAGGTGACCGATCGACAGGTGACGCGCGTCACCTGAAAATCGGCATCTGATGTGTGTCAGATTGCATTTGACGCAAGGATGCATCTAAGGCACAACATATATATCCTACAGTTATAAATTATTTATATAATAAATAAAAACACTCTGGAACTATGTTTGGTACTAAGTAAACTGACAATGTCAATTAAGACAGCTTTGTTCTCCAGATCAAGACGATTCTAAAGGTGGTGAGATCATTAAAAACAGCCCAGTAGATCTTTTTTTATGGCCTCTCAAAGTTTTAAAACGATTAATTAAATCATGTGATTTTTATAAACAATTATTTTAAAACTTTGAGAGACCATAGAAAAAGATCTACTGGTCCGTTTTTAATGATCTTACCACCTTTAGAACTGTCTTGATCTGGAAAACAAAGTTGTCTTAATTGATCTTGCCAGTTTACTTAGTATGAAACATGGTTTAGAAACAGTTTTTTATTTATTTTTATATTTTTAAAGTTAAATAAAAAAGTGCTCCAGAACAAGGTTTCGTACTAAGTAAACTGATAAGGTCACTTAAGACAACTTTGTTCTCCAGACCTAGGTGGTTCTAAAGGTGGTGATATAATCAAAAATGGCATAGTAGATCTCTTTTTACAGCCTCTCAAAGTTTTAAAATGATTGTCTAAATAATGTAATTTATGCAAATAATCGTTTTAAAACTTTGAGATGCCATAGAAAGAGATCTACTAGGCCGTTTTTAATAATCTCACCACCTTTAGAACCACCTTGGTCTGGAGAATAAAATTGTCTTAATCGATCTTACCAGTTTACTTAGTACAAAATATGGTTTCAGAGCAGTTTTTTAATTTAATTTATTTTTTTATTTGGTCTTATTTTTAAAAAACTTCTAATAACCATTATTTTGAAACTCTTCTTGCTGATCACTTGTACATAAACAAACAAAAATTAAAAACAGCGAAAACTCAATAAAGGCTTAGAAAACACCCAACAGGGCCTTAAGAAAAAAGGAAGAGCAACAAAAACAACAGATATTTAGCCTAGAAACAAACAAAATCGGACTTGCAGCAAGAAAGATACTCAAAAAAACAAAACTTTCAAAAAATTTTTAGCAAAAAGTGGGCAAGCCACTTGACCCTAAACACAGATCACTAACAGTAATACAAATATAGATGAAGTAAACAAACAAAACATGTAAACAAAACAGAACAATAAACACAGACAACAACAGACTTTTCTAGAAAATTAAGATAAATAACAAAACACGTGCTCCAGCAGATGATTCTAAAAAGTTGAAGCAAGATAATCATATCACACAAACCAAATATGAGGGAGATAGACATATATGATATGGGTTTATTAAACTCAGTCATATGCCGAGCAGATATAAGATTAAGATTTATAAACTACCCAGTGCTTAGCAGAGTATTACAAAAAGCTAGAGTAAGAGAGCCAAATGATATAGACCTTATAGCAGCTATTTGCTTAGCAAAGAAATTAGACGAAGAAACAATAGGGATGTTATCAC